CAATAACAGAGCCTCATCGGAGCCCAACCGGTTATAGCAGAGACAAAGGCTCGTTAACAATATGTAAAAAGTAAGAGAGAGACAGACAGACAGACAGACAGATAGACAAACAGACAGACAAACAGACAGAGTAATGCAGTGATGTAGCAAGCCCATGCAAGCCATGCCACTGCAAGCACACGTAGATCTTGCGTGTGAAGCGAGAGAGGGCTGCAGTGTGCTGCAGACCTCGATCTAGCCCGAAACCTAGCAACACACACGCGTAATGTGTCATGCGCAGGCCTGCCCCATGGCCAAATCTGGTCGTGCGAAGAATTTGTTTCGAGTTTCGAAGTTCACAGCACACACGCATGCACCACACCACACTGTGACTGTTCACTAACAACAGTACATGTGTAGATCTAAGCTTAACGCACTTTTTGGACGACCAGTCGGCCTAGATCTAAGCCTACTTCTTTCATTATGGCCACCAACGATGTCAAGCACAAGAGAAAAAGCCTTTCAATTGACAAAATATACGAAATAATCCAGGCTGTTGACAAAAAGCAAGCTCCACTGGCAGATATTTGTCGTCAGTTCGACATTCCACAAGGATCGATTCCCACCATTATCAAGGATAGAGAGAAGATAGTGGCAGCATACTCCAATGGAAAGTTTGCTCTGGATTGAAAGAAGATGAGACTCCCCGATGCAGATGCTGTGGACCATGCTCTTCTGGTGTGGTTTAAGGAGGCAAGGACAAAGCTGGTGCCAGAACCCCTGTTCCTGGGTACTTGTGGCAAGGGACACTACGTATGAATAAGCACAGCTGGAGTAGTCCACAAATGCTTACTTTCCTAGTATTTCTGATTTAACAGGGATCGGATATAACAGGACTTTTTCTCTACTCCCATCATCCCTGTTATATCAGGTTTCCACTGTATGTGTATGTGTATCACGGCTCCCGGGACATCAATCGACAATTGGGCTTTTGGATTGAGCAAATCAGTTGAATCATGTTGAACTCCTTTTCATCACATTTTTACATCAGACTTGATATTATTTATATATATAGGTTTTTTGTGTGTCTTTATTTAGTTTCCTTCATTGTGCCATTCTTTACTGTTGAAGACAAATGTGTCTTTCCTTCTTTATACTTCAGGGAAATTTCCGATGCATACCTCTGTGTCATCAGTTTCTAATAATGACAAGATCATCTTTATGATTGGAGGTCTCACCATATATTTCTTATTAAGATCTCTTTTTTTATGTTATGGCTTTAAAAAATATTCTTTTTGCTATTTTGATTTTTGCCCCATGTAGAGATTGAATTTTAGTCCAAACAATATATCTGTTACTCATTTGGTTGTTTTTATAATAATTCCTTACCCAGCCTTGGCATATTTGTCTTTCATTTCCACTGACCTGGTAGCAATGTACTTTTTAATGCTAAAACACTTTTGGAAATGCTGTGAAATTCTTACTTCATGAAGAGAGTGTCTACTTGTTCTCAGGTACAACAAAGCCATGGAGGCAAAGAAAGAACGTGCTAGTAAGAATTCTCAAGGTTTTGGAGCCAAAGGGACAAGACAAGGGAACCCAATGCAGGTAAAAACATTTTTTCTTGAGACTAGGTAAAAAAGCTTGTCTGATGAAAGGACATTAATATGTTGTTTGATCAATAACAACACCTGAGAGATGTATTGATTACTTTTAACATATTTTCAACAAAGTTGTGCTTATTATGAAAGATTCATTCCAAGTTCTTCGCCGGGGGGGGGGGGGGGGGATGATTCACTTGGTGTTTTTAGTTATTTTTCTTGAAATGGTACTTACAAAGGCATACAAATTGATAAAGTCAGGTTATGCATACAAGTGTCAACATATCAAATTTCTAAATAAGCATACCATTACTGATGGCCACATTGCAAGGTTCTATTTTTGAGCTGGCGTTAAAATGACTTGCTTAAGTATCACTATCTTCTCATTTGAGGGTGGCAAATATTTTGTATGGGATACCACATGTTCCAATTCTTTCTAGTAGCTGTGTATTACCTCCTTGGCTTCCACTCCGGGAAACAGTATTCCCAAGAAGGCCGAAGAAGCCAAGATTAGAAAGTATGCAGGCCTCACTAACCGATATGACTTCATTCCAGTGGCTGCCAAAATAGTTGGTGCTGTTGGTCCTGTAATGACCCAGTTCCTTCAGAAAATCGGTTTTTGGTTGGCAAACACTACTGGTTACCCCAAGGAAACGAATAGGCTGTTTGAGAGAATCTCCATGGTGATCATTAGAGGCAACATCTTCTCAATATTGGCGGCCTCACTGGCGCATGAAGGATGAATCACGGCTCCCGGGACATCAATCGACACACTGACACAGGTCACAGAATCACCGATAGTCCAATGGTCTCTCCTGGAGGTTCAAAAGAGAGGTCATTTCAGCTCTGTGCTGGCATTGTGCTTAATCTTTCTGCGCTGCTTGTTGTGGATCTCGATGTGGATTGATTGCTGTGCTGCCCTCCTCCTTTGAAATATGAAGTATGACGACATGGATTATTGTGAGTTTTGATGCACTTTGAATGAAGGTCGCAAGAGTCATGTCGTGCTTGTGGATGACCGGAGTCTGGACATTATCATATAGCCCATTTTGGACTAAGTGATTTTTGTTATTTTGGGGATGTTGCTGCTGATTTTGACGGACTTGTCACTTTGAGAGTCAAAATCAAAATCAATCACCTCTAACCACTGAAAGCCAGCTGTCTGCAGTGGTAAATCGAAAGTATATGAGTGAACCAATGGTGCACACATTACTTTGACCACCTGTTTAATATTCTTTGTCATTTGTCATTGCTTGAAATTTCCTTGTGACCAAGTTAGATTAAGTGATTGTGTGCTTTTGAATTCTACTACTCATCCTTCATTGTGTCCAGCAAAGTCGTAAAGAAGTCGTAAATTCGGCGCCCTGGTCGTAAAGGTCGTAAATGATAGTAAATTTGCCTTGAAGGTAGTAAAAATTTGGTAAACGGTCGTAAATTAGCCTGCATACTGAGTGATGAAGCCAGCAAGACTTTTCAGTTTTTGCCGGTCGCGATTGTGATATAATTTTCTTTCACCTTTTCCCTGTCCGAGAGTACGTTTCACGTGAAAAGCCGACTATGGCGGCAGGTGGAAGTGTATTTGACACCGAGGCTCGATCGGGAAAATCAAGATCTACTTTCGCTTTCGTTACCACCCTGAAATTTGGTGAAGATAAACTGATAACGCAACATTTGTAATATGCAGGTTGTACAGTATAAACGCTGTGCCGCCGTGCAAATAAAATGTAATCATTACTCGGACTCTTCACCGTGCTGTCACTTGTGGGGGGGGGGGGGGGGGGGTGTGAAAAGATAATACAAGCTTCGTCCGATTTTTAGATTGTCGGGTTCGCCAACGTGACAGGTCAGTGAACCTTCGCGGGATGCACTACAAGGTACGGCATCGGTGGGCACCGGCGTTTGTTGGGGTCGCCAAAGTTCATTAAAAAGTCTGAGCATTGCGAAGTATAGGACTACGGAGTGGGGCAGGGATTATTGATTTTTTTTTTTTGAGATACACTTGGGGGAGGGGGGGAGCGGCTGAAGGCAACACCAGAGGACAAAAGCTGTTAGCAAATTTTAGAATTTTGATTAGATTTAGAGCCCGCTGCAAAGCGCGCATTGGTGCAGGCCTTGTGTGGAATCGGGATCCTTCATACCTTGTAAGCCGTGTTATTGAAATAAAGTGTTCGCGTTTCATTTGTTGGGTGATAGTAAATTAGAATAATATTGTAGCTTTCTGTTCAAGACTGGCAGATTTTCAGTGTCACTGCCTCTTGCCCTCTCACAATTCTTACACCTCTCACACTGAATAGGTTTACTCGAGTCATTACGTGTGTGTGTGCGCGCGTTGTTGTTGTGTAACATGGCCCTGGAAAATGGAGAAGCCGGTTTGGCAGTCACCCTGTGTGTACACATTAGGTATAAATCTACCCCCCCCCTCCCCCTCCCATCACCACCAGGGCAGTGCTACTGACTGAAACATCTTTAGGCCATTCCCAAAGGGAGGATATTAACATGTTCTTATGCACAGTAGAATTGTAAATATGGGCTGATTTATCAATGTCATGCTCATACTGTGCTGGACCAGCTTAGGGGGAACTGCTGCCTTTTCTGTCCTCTTTTTTACTTTCGTCATTTTCCTGTACTTCTTTTGTATGCTTATCACGCTTGTGATCTACTATTTCCGCGGTGCCTTGATAGTCGAAGCTTGATTCTTTTCGTTTCATATGTTATGTAATAATAATATATATGTTATTGATGGCGCAAATTAACTCCCTTTTTCGAGCTGGTGTGGGGCTTCATTTGCTGGGTAGTAAATTTTTTTTCCAGGTAGTTAATTTTTTCAGGAAATATTGCTGGACACCCTGATTCTTAAAGTGGAGAACATTAAGAACATTGTCTATGAAGCAATGGTAATTGTGCAAGTTGTATTGTGAAAGCTTACATGTTTACCTTGTACTTTATAATAACTTTTGGAAATTATTTTTTATCTTACTATTTATTTTACACTTAGTTGTAAGTAGTTCTATGTGATAATTCTATCAATAGTACTTTAATGGATTTTACTGTAATAGTTATTGTTGAGACATGGAGTAGCGTCAAATTGGCTCGCAAATCATGACGATGATATTGCATCCCAACCTCTGATCATGAGGTCATTTTTTCCCTTTTTCTGCTACAGCAAACAACTGTTGGTGATGAAGATCATTCCTGTCCTTCTTTTGAGAGAGTCAGGAGGGGGAAGAGAAAATCTGAGGGTTTTTTTTCCCCCAAAAGGAAACTTCAGTGGCCATGTTATAAATGTTTAGGAAGAATGTCGAACTGTGTCTGTGGAATGACTTCCTAGTAGGTGGCCACTTTGGTGTTTTCTATGAGTACTGTTCTTAAACAGATTTGCTTTTAACATGTGTATTAAATCTGTTAATAAAAGTCTGTTAAACATTCCTAGATATTTTATTGTCCATCAGCATGGACAACCCCCAACTCCCTCTATGGAAAAATGAAGAGACATATTACAGACAGGGCTCTCGTGACCTAGAGGTTAAGGTGTTGGCCTCTCATTCAAAAGGTCCCGGGTTCGAATCCGGGTAGCGAGCGAAAAATTTTCTGCTCTAAATTTGTCTCCTTTCACCTCATTTCCTGCTCTCTAGCAATGTTCTGTCGTCTGCTTTCGTCTCCTCTTTCTGCCCCCACCCCCTCACCTCCTTTGCCCCTTCCTCTGGGCTCCTGATTCTTTCTGCAGCCTTTCTATTGCTACTCCTTCGCTTCTTCTTACTGCTGTCTTTCAGTCACACTCTTGATCTTCTGGTAGGAAAGATCTACACCTAGCCTTCTCGGACAAGGGTGAAAAATCTCGGAGGGCCCTTGTGCAAGTTGTGCACATTAAAGATCCCTTGGTGGTCTAAAATCGATAAGGGTAGGCTTCGGCCGCCACCCGGGCAAAATTCAAAATTTCCTACCAACTGAAAATATTAGGTGTGTCCTGCGCGCTCATATGACCTTATGCAGTTGCGAGCGCCGTAAAACACTTTACAAAAACAAAAAAGACAGGGTCTCCTTTATTTCATCAAACAGAATTGTAAAAGTCTTACCATACAGTTAATTAGTATCAACAACATCAACGAACAACTTAATGTCTTCTCAGGACAAGAACACCTGGCTGTCTGTCATCGAAATGTTGAAGAGAAAAGATAAACTACCTGCTGTGGCCTTCACCTTCTCAAAGAAAAAAATAGAGGAGACTGCTTCCTCTCTGCAGAGTGTGGATTTAACTACAGCGAGTGAGAAAAGCGAGATTCACGTGTTCTTCCGTCGATGCATCACGCGATTGAAAGGTTCAGACCAGACGCTTCCTCAGGTGAGAGACTCGGTGGACTCAGCAGTGGGGAATGAGATGAGTGGTGCTTTGGGAGAGAATAGATGACGGAAAATGAGTATTTAAAATAAGCTTTGGACGCATTTGTGATTATAAGTCTGAGGATGATGTTGCCATTTTTGTCTCAGTTGTATTTACCATTTAAGGCAACAGTTCTGTGCTACTTTTGATGACAGATTCCTTATATTTACTTCTGTGCAGGAGTAGATGTCTTGAAAAGCTGATTGTACCTTTTATAACTTCAGTTTCTCTGTAGCTGAGTCAGGGCTTTGTTTGATTTTAATATATTTCTATAAGACTCAGCAGAGATTGACCCTAGTCAGCAATTTTGGGCTTTAGTTCGAAGAACAAATTTGCAGCATGTGTTTCATTTTGTACACATAAGTACAGGTAACTGTTAAAGCTCAAGGTTGTTACTATTTCCATTTAAGTTTACCAGAACTTTTGAAAATCTGAAATGGCAATTTTTGCCCTTGTTTATCATTTTCATTTGACTCTTTTTATTTGTATGGTGTTTTGTGGAAAATATTTGTGAGCCTCATGTATCTGTTTGTAATGATAATTCCTCTGAACCTACAACTCAAACACCTGTCTTGTTGTGTGCAGGTGTTACAACTAGAGGACTTGCTTCGTCGAGGTCTGGGCATTCATCACAGCGGTGTATTACCCATTCTCAAAGAGGTTGTCGAGATGCTGTTCCAGAAAGGTCTTTTAAAGGTAAAGATATTTTAATGCTTTTGGTGATTGTAATTTGAGGGCTTGCCTCTGTCGTTACAAAGTACATGGCTTCATTGTGGGCATGGGTCAACATGGTCAATGGATAACTTAAGCCTTCTTTTTTTTTGCTATGGGTTTTTCACATCCCTGGTCCCAGGTGAGATTGAGTATATTGTCTTCTAGGATATAGAACCCCCCAAAAAAACAGACTCAGATTATGCATTGTGTGCATGTTTTTTTGTTTTCGTAAGCGTTTTTTGGCACTTGCATCACAACTTGGTCATGTAAGTGCCAGACGCTAGAGGTGTTACAAGAGTGTAAAAAGCCCAAAAAAGAAGAAGAGATATAAGGATGACAGATGTTTGATAGGAAAAAAGGAGCAAACTACACTAGAGAACTGGCCAACCACACACTGCATGTTGTATAATTAAAGACACCTGTTGGGGAAAACTAAAGAAGAGCAAGTCTGATCAGACTGCTAGTCAAAATTCGAAATTAGTCTCTACCCAGAATGTTACCCTCCGAAAATGTATGGTCAAATGGTCATTGAGGTGTGTCCTTGAGCAAGGCACTTTTGGTCCAGGCTCAAGAACAGGGCACTGTTCTGGGGTGACCAGGATTAGTGTGTTTGCTCTGAGATGTTTCTTGATATATTTCTTATGTATGTAAAGCATAATTTGTATGCTGTTGTACACGTCAATGTCAGACTAATTTATAGGGTGGTTGGCGGGTGCTCTTATGGCTTGGTCCTTCTTTCCTATCAAATATTTATCATCCTTATCTCTCCTCCTTTTTTTGTGTTTGTTACTCTCTTGTAACACCTCTAATCTTCAGGACTTATGTGACCTTATTGTATTTCAAGTGCCGTAAAACTCTTACTAAAGCTAATAGACTAATTTGCTTTTTTTTAAAAACTGATGAACTGTTATTATTTCATCTTATTCTTTATATTTATTGGCTGTATTTCTATTCTTTCAGATCCTCTTTGCCACCGAGACCTTTGCCATGGGAGTGAACATGCCGGCCCGCACTGTGATCTTTGACAGCATACGCAAACACGATGGCACAAACTTCCGGAACCTTCTGCCGGGCGAGTACATCCAGATGGCGGGCAGGGCCGGTCGACGTGGCCTGGACACTACAGGAACAGTCATCTTGTTATGCAAAGGGGACGTCCCTGAGATGTCGGAGCTGCATAAAATGATGCTGGTACACTCATTTGCTTCCAAATCCTTTCCTTCCCTAATGCAGTCCCCTGTCCAAACATGAGTTTGACAATGAGTTAGAAAATCTCCTGAGCATTGTGTTGTGGATGATGGCCTAGGCCGATGAGAGGATAAAAAAAATGTGCGTAATTGTTGGAGACTTTCAGCTGCAGCACGCAGCATGGTTTCTAGTGATGCACAATCAGGATCAAAGGCTTTTGACATGCCTTGTCAGTTTGTTTTGTTTTTGCAAGTATTGGATGGACAGCCAATAAATTTCAACAACACATTTTCATATGAATTTGAATGAAAAACGTTGATTTAAGTCTCAAAATATGCACATTTTCATTTTTCTAGGACTCTCATACTATTGAAGTACCAAACTTCTCGTTATTTTACCTCTAAAACCAGGTGACCCCCACCTTTTTCAATCGCAAATATCTTGACTTCTATTCAAGACAGATGAGTATATTTTGCATCAAACACAAGGCAAATGAATAAGTTTTCAGATGATACCTATAACTCCACATGCCCAAAAATTGATGAGTATTTGATTCCACCGCATCGAGACACAGGGTCATGACATGGTGAAATCAGGCGTTCGTCACGTTTTGGACATGTGGACTTATTGGTATCATTTTAAAGCTTGTTCATTTGCTTTGCTCTCGGTGAATTTTTAAAATATTATTATTATAATTGTTTCTAATATGGTTATTATTTATATTAACTGTACAATCCCACACACTTGCAAGAGATGTGACCCTAGTTGTGGTAAGTTAATATTGTCTGTGCTCAGATGCTCACGAGGGACATTTACTTTCGTGTTGTGTCTCCTTCATCACTCATTTCTTACGCCTTACTGGCCAAGTTTGCTGTCTTTGAAATAACCATGTGTGTCTTTCTGTGCGTTAACTCTTGAGAAAACCAAAACATTTTTAATGTAGTCTTTTTTTCTCATTTATGCTTTTGATTTCGCCTGTGTCCCAGGGTAAACCGACATGTCTGGAGTCTCAGTTCCGCTTGACCTACACAATGATCCTGAACTTGCTGCGTGTGGAGCAGTTGCGTGTACAGGACATGATCAAACGCAGCTTCTCCGAGTTCCACCATCAGAAAGACACGGCTGTCCACCGCAAGGCCCTGGAGGAATTGAAGCAAAAGATGACTGGAATCAAGAACATTGAGTGCTACTTGTGTTCACTGGATCTGGAAAAGTATTACGAGGATTGCCGTGAATATCACGAGCTACAGAGATATTTGCAGGTGAGACTAGTAAAGGTGAAAGGTTTTAGGTAGATCTGAAGTGTATATTGTGTTACCATTGATGGTCTTCTCACCGAGGATAAGGTTATTTAGTTACTGTTTCATTTGTCTAATAACGAAACATAAAGCTCTAAATCATGCATGTAGATTTATGTATGTTTATTAAAGAAACAGTTGTTAGTGTTAGAGGGATTTTAGACAAAGAGACTGAATAAGCTAATATTTTCATTTTTGTGTAGAATTTCCTCCTTTGTTGCTGTTTTCTCCAAGCTGATGCTATGAATAGATCTACGTGGACAGGATACTAAGTGAGGACTTCCATGGGTGTTGATTTAATTGAATCCTTTACAATCTTGACCTAAAACACTAAAGACTATGACATTTTTTTATGCATAATTTTTTTAACGTTGCTAAACTCGTTATGATTACATTTTTAAAAAACTTTCAAGGAGAACCACTTCTGCAAATATTCTTCTCAGCATTGCTGTCTATTGATTAAGTTGACTCTTCGTTCTTTATCTTTGTTCCATTATCATTTCCATTGCTCTGTGGGCCAAATACAGGGAATCTACTATTGCTGTCATGTGTAAAAATACAGTCCATTTATGCTGTTTTTACAATTTTACAGGAGAGCCAAAAAACTAAATTTTGTTACCAATAAAATTATTTGCTATAAAGATAATATGTGAGGCATCGTGGTGAAATCAGGCACTCATTAAAATAAAGAAAGAAAAGAAAAAGGCATTTTTCCACCAGTTTGACAATTTTTATCGTTATTTTGTTTTTTGGCTAAACACCTTTGATGTTCATATGAAAACACATTTCCATTAAAAAAAAATTTTTTTTTGTAAAGTGTTTTACGGCGCTCGCAACTGCATAGGTCATATGAGCGCGCGGGACAATCCTAATATTTTCAGTTGGTAGGAAATTTTGAATTTTGCCCGGGTGGCGGCCGAAGCCTACTCTTATCGATTTTAGACCACCAAGGGATCTTTAGCGTGCGCAACTTGCACACGGGCCCTGCGAGATTTTTCGCCCTTGTCCGAGAAGGCTAGGTGTAGATCTTTCCTACCAGAAGATCAGGGGTGTGGCAGAAAGACAGCAGTAAGGAGGAGCCAAGGAGTAGCAGTAGAAAGGCTGCAGAAAGAGTCAGGAGCCCAGAGGAGGGGGCAAAGGAGGTGAGGGGGTGGGGGCAGAAAGTGGAAATGAAAGCAGACGACAGAACATTGCTAGAGAGCAGGAAAGGAGGTGAAAGGAGACAACATTTTAGAGAAGAAAATTTTCGGTCACTACCCGGATTCGAACTCGGGACCTTTTGAATGAGAGGCCAACACCTTAACCTCTAGGCCACGAGAGCCCCCACACATTTCCATATAACTTTTAGTGAAAAATCTTGTTTAAAGGCACAAAATGTGTAATTTTCAGTTTTCAATGACTCTCAAGCTATTGAACTTACCAAACTTTGGTGGCTATTTTCTCGCTAATTTTACTTCTGAAACCAGGCGACCCCACCTCCTTCAATTGCAAATATCTCGACTTCTATTCAAGATAAATGGAAATTTTTTTCATTGAAAGCAAGGCGAATGGACAAGCTTTTAGATGACTCCAATAAATTCATATGCCCGAATATTGACGAGCGCCTGGTTCCACAAAGACGTGTCACATATAGATCTATCAAATTGGTATTCTTACCTAAAGATATTGACTTTGGATGTTTGCAAAGAGTTTTTGTTCTTGGTAACATTTTCAGTTTTTTGGCTCTCCAGTAAAATTGTAAAAAGGGGGGGTTCTCGTAACCTAGAGGTTAAGGTGTTGGCCTTGCATTCAAAGGTTCCGGGTTCAAATCCGAGTAGCTACCGAAAAACGTTCTGCTCTAAAATTGTCTATTTTCATCTCCTTTCCTGCTCTCTAGCAATGTTCTGTCGTCTGCTTTCGTCTCCTCTTTCTGCTCCCACCCCCTCACATTCTTTGCCCCCTCCTCTGGGCTTCTGACTCTTTCTGCAGCCGATCTACTGCTACTCCTTGGCTCCTTCTTACTGCTGTCTTTCAGCCACACCCCTGATCTTCTGGTAGGAAAGATCTACACCTAGCCTTCTTGGACAAGGACGAAAAATCTCAGAAGGCCAGTGTGCAAGTTGCGCAAGTGTTTAAGATCCCTTGGTGGTCTAAAATCAATAGAGTAGGCTGTGGCCGCCACCCGGGTAAAATTCAAAATTTCCTAACAACTGAAAATGTTTAATGTGTCCCGCGAGCTCATATATGCAGTTCTGAGCGCCGTAAAACACTTACCCCACAAAAAAGGTTTTTAAATTGTAAAAATTGCACATACTATATTTTTAAAAATGACAGCAGACCAGTGACATCATTAGTGTGAGCAGTTTAAAATGAGTTCATGACTGTAACGTATGCTGTCGTAGCTTGTACTTGGGAACTTTCTAATGGTGTCACTGTAGCTACTTTTATTGCGGCTGTGAACACTGCTGCTGCTACAGCAGTTACTGCTTTGACTACTATTGCTTATCTTACACTTTCTTCTGTTGCTGCTATTACTTATGGGAGTAATAAATTGTCAAGTGTATAGGGCCTTCTGTTAAGAAGGCTGTGTTATTTTAATTGTAAATTTCAATAGTTAGTTAATAACTTATTTCAAATACGTATATGTATTATCACCTAGTTCGTTTCTTTCCTCATTGCTTGGGCTCTTTGACAGTCTGTGATGCTGACCAACCCGACAGCTCTTAAGCTCCTGTCCCCGGGCCGAGTGTTGATGGTCCGGCGGCCTCTGGGCCAGGCAGTTCTGGGCGTGGTGCTTGCCTCGTCTGTCGGAACAAACAATGAGCGGAAGTTCACAACACTGGTGCTTTCAGAGAAAGGAGAAGAGGGCCTCGGAGAACCTTCAAAACACAGTGAGTAATTTTTATTTGTTGATGTGTAAATGTGACACTATTTAAATCATTTAGAAGGCTTCACTCTTGCTTGTCAGGGCCAGTTAGGGTTGAGAGGGATACGACATCTCTGTTCGAAGACAAAGCTGCTCTATATAAGTCCTCTCCACATGAGAATGGATGCAATTAAAAAGCCCACAAAACAAGTTAAAGTTACTTTGCATGTGTGCCGACTAGCCAAATCATGCAAAAAAATGAGAGGGCAAAACTGTCTCCTGTTTTCTTTTTGTCTGAGAGTTATATTATTTTCTTTCGATATTCCAAGTTTATGATTTTATTGTGGAAACCGATGCTAAACTTGAAAAACCAATGATATTTCCTTGGTCAGCCAACGATTTGAGTCTGTTAATCAATAACCAGATATGCAAATGGTTCAAGCAAGTGTATCAATGACTTTGTTTACATCAACCAATAATTTAACACGTTAAAAAAAAAGATTTAGCTTGATAAGCTGATTTAATTGTGTGGACCAGTTGCTACTTAAGTTGTTGAAGGAATGATCTGATTAGGTGGACTGAGAAAATGTAACCTGTCATCAACTGTTCTCCTTACCAGGAGTGGGTCCGGTTTTGCCTAGTTCTCTTTTCCTGCCGGAGGGTGCCAGCTGGCAACAGGTGCTAGAGCTCAAGAGCAATGACATTGCACGTGTCACCACCAAGGTCATTCGCGTGGACGCTGATGGGATTATCCATGACACAAGGCGTCGAGATCATCCCCGCTTCAAGTAAGGAGAGGATAATTACTCTATCTTTGCTAGAATTTCACAAAACCATTTTTTAAAACTGTTAGTGATATCGATATTCAACCTTAGGTTGCATGTTTTTTTCTTTTTAATTTTCATTTTAACACTTTGCAGTCACACAGCCAGCAGTACAAAATACCCATCTAGTCACTCAGCCAGGAGAGTGACTGCAACGGATTTCTCCTGCGCCAGGTGACCGGAACATATAATTTTCACCGGCACATTATTGCGCCAAGTGACTGCAAAGTGTTAATCCTAATGACATCTTTTTAGAAATTATATGGTCTGGTTAGTAAAATGAGATCTGTTTGATTTGTTTACTGCATCTGTCTATTTTTCAATTTCTTGAACTGTTTTTGTTTTTGTACTGATTTGAAGGGCAGATTATAGTAAAGTAGAAAGAGTATTGTTTGTTGAATTGTATGTTATTCTTGGTGTGAGTCCTGTCGCCTTCAGCTTCAGAGAGTCTTGAGGCTGGTAGCCCTGTCTTGGCCCTTCTTGAGATCTTCATGTTTTTGTCACCAAATAGTTCCAAAATGTGGGTTGGCTGTTAAGATGATTTTTGTTAGTATTAGCCTGTACAATGAGGCTAGTTTGAAGAAAAGTAGTTTAGCTGTGTAGCTAAAAGGTTGCAATGGTTGATAAATGGAAAAGTCAATATATAAATAGTTTCGGAGATTGTGACTGCCAATATATTTTATCCACAATATCGAAAGTGTACAATTCTCCTTTTGAGTGATTTCCAGCTCTTCTGTTATGGACCCAATATGATGCTATTGTAGCTTGAGGGCTTTCCAACTGTGCTCTGTTGGGTAAAAGAAAATTCTGTCAAAAGAAGAAAGTAAAACACCACATTTACTGATCTCTGTGTAGAAAGTTTTGTTAGTGGCATGTACAACACATCATCATCATCATCAGCAGCAGTGTCAGCATCAACATCAAGTGTCTTGTCTGGAGCAAACATTGGTGGTTATAGTTCTCCATCCCTCTTTCATTTAAAGTGAAACGTGTACATAGATAAATTAACTGAAGGGTGCACAAGCAGCTCATTAATTAGTCTTGCTCAAGGACACACATAAATTTAATGAAAGTACACCAGCAGTACGTTAACATGTGTTGCTCAAGGACGCACCCCAGTGACCTCACAACTGAAGGCTGTGTTGTTAGTGTGGCATTGATGGTCTAGGACTCGCAACCATAAGGTTGTGGGTTTGAATTCCATCATGGACCTGGCGTTTTGTCTTTGGGGAAGGCACTTTACACAAATTTTCCTCTCTTCACCCAAGTCGGAATGGTTACCGAGCTATAGACGATGAAAGATCTTGTCAATATGTAAATGTTTGGGTGCATGCAATCTGCAGCTTGCACTGTATGCTTCCTGAGAAGCAGAGAACGTTTCTGAGTGTTCTAGGGTCTGTTGCGGTAATAATAGTTGTAAAACTCATAGAGCATGCTATAGAGTGTGGATATGCGCTACTTAAATGCTGTTGTTATCATTGTTATTTTTGTTGTTATTATTATTGTTATTTTAAAATTATTATTATTATTATTGTTATATAGTTGCTTGACATTATCTGAATGTTAGTCCCAAGCTCAGTAACCACTCAAAAATTAGCAACAAAACTGGAGAAGGATGTTGTCATAAAAATTGGTTTCAGACCTGTTTATTGTCTTAAAAGATATTTCTTTTACTGCTTTGGATGACGGATGCCCGATCTTTTCTGGCTTTGCAAAAGGTATGAGTGATTGTTCATTTCTGCTACTTCTGTCAGTGCTTCCACTCTTCCGTATTTTTACGTAAATCCGTACTTTCTGCCATTTCCGTACTTGCTCCTCCATCAATATCAACTCCCTCCGTAAAAAGCTGCGACAGCGTAGGACTACCGAAATTCCGTAGCAAAAGATCTGTACTCGCCTTCGTATCGTCTAGTACTAGTGCTAATATAAGTTACGGATATTTACGGTAATTCTCTCGGCAACAAGTTAGAAGTTATAGAAACCTGCCAGATAGCGCATTTCCTGCAATTGGCCATTATTCCGCTATGCCACATTATGCATTCATTGTGGGTTGGTCGGCAGTACCATTTTTTTGTCCAAAAGTTGCCAAAAGTTGCCACAAAAATGCCAAAAGTTGCCAATAATTTTCAGGCTTTCAACTAGCTGTGACGAAGTAATGTAACTTAATCTAAAGCACCAGAATTTCTTGTGCTCTGTTTTAAGCATCCAGAATATTAATTGTAGCCACATAGAGTGTAAAAACGTGAAAAATAAAGGTTTCACAACAGAATGAAATCAAAATTAGAACAGCACACAAACAACCTCAAAAAAGTAACGAATAAGGGCGTGTGTCCACCTATCCGAAGATTGCCCATTTTAACTCTAAACATGTCTAATTCAAGAAAAAGTACAGGATGTAAATTATGGAATAACACACAAGGGGCCTGCCAGTGTCAGTGTTCGGATTTGGTGGAGACACGCTCTAACATAACACATTTATAATATATATTTTTATTTTTTATTTTTTATGTAGGAACATCAAATTAAATGACATTACGCTGTATAAACAGACACACAAATAGATCAGAAAAATAACCCCCCAAAAAATAACACACCGACAAAGAGGGAAAAATAAAAGACAAACAGCAATATAATAAATAGTATGTAATGTACTTATTATTATTCTTAGCGTGAAAATAACTATACATGGACACCTTAAAATTATCAAAATACACATGAAATAGCCTTTTCTTTTTGAAAAATGCAAAAATCGCGGCCGCGCGACAAACGCAGATGCTAGGATAAGGGCCGCGATGAAAGAAATTTATGCTAAAACCAGCATAAAACTACTAACATCAAGAATAATTCGAAGTGGTGTTCCGAGGTTGTGACATGCGACATTCGGACGTGAAATTTAAGGAAAATTAGGGAATACCCCGGGTAACTGTATTTGTGAAGGTACATATGTATTCCTTATTCCCAGGTTTGCCTTCTATCAAGGGTGCGATGACAAATTAATTGAATTATAGTAGCAATGGAAGGGGAACCTGCTTTTAAACATTGCCAGCAATGGGAGGATATGTAGGATGTGAAGAAATCAAACAAGACAGAATGAAATCAAAATTAGAACAGCACACAAACAACTGCAAAAAAAGTAACGAATAAGGGCGTGTGTCCACCTATCCGAAGATTGGCCATTTGTTGGGGGAAAAATAAATGTTATGGGTTGTGGGCAATCTCTTCAAACAGGCTCCCAGATGCCATTTTCAGCCCTCTAAAAGCACTAAATTTCTATTTCTTACGGGGCCTCGCCCCCTGAACCCCCACCGGGACGCTGCGCTGGGGGGCCGCCGCACCAGAGACCCCCGGCAGAATTTTCCTTACTTTTCAGCTTCAGCTGGTGGGAGCACTGTTCTGTGTAGTGGTGCATGACTGTACTTGTGGTCCATCTCTTTTTTCTGATTCACTTTTCTCATACTGAGATTGCAACTACCTCTCACTGTTCTCTCTGTCAAGCAATGAACTTGAAAAAAATATTGTGATTTTTTTGAAACCTCAGAGATGAGCCACCAGACCGCTGTGTTACCACAGCAACGCAAGAGCTGCTGCGACTGAGCGAGTCCAATCCTTCAGGGTTGCCAGGACTTCATCCAGTCAATGACCTAAAATTCCGAGACATGGATCTAGTAGAACAATGCCGCACTCTTCAGTTTCTAGAGGAGGGTTTCTCCGATTTCAACTGCCCCCGGTGTCCAGTCTTTCTGGAACATGTGAGTTTTAGAAATGAAACGGTGGTTTGGATTACACTTAAAATCTATTTGATTTATTTGTGAGGATAAGAATTAATCATGTGGAAAGTTAGCTCAGTGTTCCAATAGTGCTTTGATTTGTAGAATCAGAGGTTCAGTGTGGATAGAAACTTATGGGTTCTTTTCAGTGTGGCCAAACAAAACTCTGAAATTAAAGAAGAACCTTGTGTAAGGGAGGGTTTTGTAATGTATTGAGGTAGAAGAAGTCGGAAAGGGGCATTCTGGCTAAATGGTTAATGGTCTGTCATTGCAAGATTGTAAGTTTAATTAATTTCTCATTATGCTGTGTAGGATTTTTCTTTTTGGGGGAGAATTTGAATCGCTACTTTTTCATTTTTCAGAATTTTCGTTGATTCTGATATTTCTTTAGCTTGTAGCATAAGGGGTATGATTGCCATCACCATATATGTGTGCTGCTGCTAACATCTGGATTGCTTTCCCCATCATCATCATCATCATTATCATCATCATCATCATCCCATCACCATCACCATCATCGTCATCATCATCGTCATCATCATCATCATCATCATCATCATCGTCATCATCATCGTCATCATCATCGTCATCATCATCATTGTCATCATCATCATCGTCATCATCATCATCGTCATCCCATCACCATCATCATCATCGTCATCAGCTTTTTTTAACTGGTGCCAGAGTACAGGCCACAAACAAGTACTCTCTATTTCTGTCCTTTGCTGTAGTCTCCACTTCTGTTCTGCTGAACTGTATCCCATTTTCTTTAGGTCTAAATCTATTGCTTTCTTCAGGGGAATGGAAATAGTAGACTTAAACACTTTGCTCTGTAGTTCATTAATGTTTGCACAGGTGGCATGAATCCCCAACAGAATGCATAGTGTTGATGTGTTTACTGCTGCCTTTGCACTAGAGACTGGGGTGGCTATTAAAAGATGAACAGAGAGAAAAAGAAGAAAATATTTATAAGTCTGGGGAGCTATTGTGAAGTTATTATGCAATCTTCCATTGGAGGGATTTTGAGACTATTCTGCCGTAAGCCTTAAAAAATTTTTTACTCCAAATTTATTTGTTTGATAAATTTAAAGCCTGATCAGTTACCCTACTTGTTTGAAGAAAGTCAAAGTGAAACTGACTAGTATTTAGATCAATTAGAATTCAAATTTCGTAAAGACACCTATTTAATATTGTTACGCTGACAAAAAACCTCTTTATCTTGAAACTGCTGTGAATTTTTAAAAAAGGTGTTTTGTCTGCTTACGGCAATATTATCACCGTTACCTTACTTTGATCTTTCCTGATGTGCTGTTTTCAGTTCTCCGAGCATGACAGGAATATGGCCCTGAAGGACGAGTACAGGCGCCTGCAGTATCTCCTGTCTGACGAAAGTCTGGCCCTGCTGCCGGAGTACACACAAAGGGTTCAGGTGAGCCTGACAGGCAGTCCTGTCACATACAATAGTTCAGTTTTTAGTCTGTACGCCCGGTCTGTCCTCAGTGACAGGAAAAAGCAGGGTGAACACCTACGCGGCCATGGATGAGACTACTTGCGGAGAACGACTGCTCCCCCAGGGTTGTGAATGAGTATATGAGCAAGCGAAATGACCTAGATCTAAATAAAGGCCTGCTGATGTGTCCCCAAATATGTTTGTGTCACAACGCGGTGGAATCAGGCGCTCGTCAATTTTAGGACATATGGAGTTATTGGTATCATATTAAAGTCTGTCCATTTGCCTTGCTTTTGATTCCATTTATCTTTGATACAAGTCAAGAGATTGGCAATTGAAGGAGTTGGAGTTGCCTGGTTTCAGACGTAAGATTAGCGAGAAAATGGCCGCCAAAGTTGAGTTATTTCGAGAGTTTGCGGAAACTGAAAATATACATCTTTTATGCTTTTAATCAACGTTTTTCAGCAAAATCCTCACAAATGTGTTTTTAAAGGGCATGAAAAGTGTTGAGCCAAAAAACAAAAATTTGATAAAAATTCCCAAGCCTGCTGAAAAATGCCAGTTTCTTGACTTTCATTAATTTGACGAGCGCCTGATTCCTCCATGCTGCCTCACATTTATGTTTTCATTAACTCATCGATTAATTTTGTTTTGATATTTTGCTTCCAATTTATGGCAATTAAATGTGGAAAAGAATGAGATGAGTTTAAAACCAGAACCTTAAGTGTGGGACAAAATTTGTAAAGACACAGACTGTGTTGACTCAGACAGTGGTCTTGATTATTTGGATTGCAAGTCTTCAGATCGAGGAGAAAGTGATGAAAATTGATCTAGAGCCACTTATCATTGATTTAGGAGAAATTTACTCTATGAACAAATCTAGATCTAACCTTTTATCTCTGTTAGGAACTGAGTCTACATGAAAACTTGCTATTACATAAATGATTACACCTAAATGATTCAAACCAAAATATTTTTTTCAATGAAAATGTGTTACGGCATTGGGAAGCATATTCTTAACAGTTTGGTGAAGTTTCATATCTATAATTTTACTAGAGACAGAGTTATTCATATTAAAGTAACACATAACCCGCATAGAAAGCTGGCGGCAACTCTGGTCCTTGGGAACTGAAAGTCAAGTGTGAGGCAGGGGGTTAAGGAGATTCTCTACTGTTGTGGATTGAATATCTTCCTCTCAGTGGATAAATTGAAGATGGAAGAGGCAGAGGCAGAACTAGAATGATTTACTTGAAGAACTTTGACAAATGGGTGATAGAAAAAAATCCAGATATCACAGGGATTTTGTTAAAGCAACTTAAAGTGAGAGGAGAAAGGAGTGGTGAACCATAGCCGCCAATATCTGCTTCAGATCTATTTATTGCAGAACATGTCTGTCTGTCTGTCTGTCTGCCTGCCTGCCTGTCTATCTGTCTGTCTGTCTGTCTGTCTGTCTATCTGTCTGTCTGTTTAGATTTAAAGAGGAACAAAAGTTCTTGTTTAATTTCATGTTTCACTCTTGGGGTTGCCTGTGGCTCCTTTAATTCGTTAGATTTATGTATTCTCTTAGTGGGTGGTTGACGGGTGCTCTGGTATGGTTTGCTCCTTCATTCCTATAAAAAATCTATTTCTCTATCTCCCCTCCTTCTTTTTTGTTTTTGTTACTCTCTTGTAACACTTCTAATCTTCGGCACTTCTATGACCTTATTGTGTTACAAGTGCCGTAAAACCCTTACTAAAACTAAAGCATTCTCTTATTGTACAGCACACATGGTAGTTTCAGAGTTGTTGAGAAGGAAGACTCTTGCATGGCAGCTGTTAAAACAATAGGGGGGAGTAAGTCAGAAATGGCCTGGTGGTCCATCTTGCATTTTTCTCTCTTTTCTTTGATGTTTATCACACTGGTGTCTGTAGTGAAATGATTAGGCTCCCCGCCGTTGCATCCAGAAAACATATGATGAGTTGGATTCCCATGTCTGGAGGGTTTTTTTTAAAATCGAGAGTGTATCCATATGTCTGTTTTTTAGTCATTGCGATATTATATCCCTTTAAGCCTGGTTTGACCCTGAGAGGCAAAGTTACAGCAGCTTGCCTCCTAAATGATGTAAATTCTGTGCCAATATAGATGTAAAAGATGTAGCCTACAATTTTGTCATTAATTTTATATACTGTCTCTCAAAGGTGCTGAAGCGTTTGCACTACGTGGACAACACAGGCACAGTACAGCTTAAAGGTCGCGTGGCTTGTGAGATCAGCAACCATGAGCTCATGATCACTGAGCTGGTCTTCGAAAATGTCCTCACTGACCTTCATCCCACAGATATTGCTGCTGTCTTATCGTGTTTTGTGTTTGAGATGAAACGCTGCAGTGAGCCAAAGCTGACGGATACTTTACTCAAAGTAAGTGATCAATCATGTAATAAAATCACTTTTTATCTTCTGAATTGACATTTTATTTGTGTTTTCAATTTCTTATGGTAATAGCTTTACCTTTTGTCTGTTTTACCAAATCAATATATACTATACTTTTCTTTAAATAATTTTTTTTCTTTCAAGTTAGATGTGAAGTACAACTGGAATGTGAAGTAAAATTGGGGAGAAACACAACTTCATGAAAATTCACTGGCCTCACACCATCAGAAATGTAGTATTATGGAGGTGAACCAAACAATAACCAAATGACCCAGAGATTAAATAAAAAAAGAAGATAAAGATGGCGATGGATTGGACACTTACTCAAGAAGCCAGCCCACAATGTGACAAGACAAAGCCTTAGATGGAACTGTCAGTGGAAGAGAAAGAGTGGAAGACCGAGGTCCACGTGGGAGCAAGATCTCAGGAATATGGGACACAGCTGGCTGGAGGTGGAGATTACCCAGAGCAGAGACAGGTGGAGAGCTCTTCTTAGTGGCCTGTACCCAATACCAGGGTGAACGAGGCAAATTATGATGATGACAATAATATTAATAATTGCGTTTACATAGTGCTTTTCTGCATGCTCTAATTGTTTTACAACTATTATTATCTGAGTTGACCCAGGGAAACTCAGAAACATCCTCAGCTTCCCACAAAGAATAGAGTGCAAGCTGATGATTACATTTGCTAAAACACTAACAAACTTACAAGACCTTCCACTGTCTATAGCTGGATACCCATTTCCACCTGGGTGAAGTGAGGAAAATTCGGGTAAAGTGCCTTTTCCAAGGACACAACATCAGACCCATGACAGGTTTCGAACTCACGACCTTATAGCCTTATCACAGAGTCACTGACACTACCCATGATGATGTACTGAACATTAGAGTTCAAAGATGAAGGGTAAAATTAAAGACAACTGATGGTAAAAGTGCTCTTACATAAGTTGCCCTCAATGGCGCCACAGCGCCAGAAGAAAGAGAGAGAGAGAGAGGTTGTTCTAATGAAACTGTTTTTGGGTTACGATTTTCTTTCTTGAAGAACAGTTTGTGCATTTCAACATGTCTTTTCGTATGGAACACAAGCCAGTCAGTTTTTTAAATCTGAGCAAGTGTTCAAAATATCTCTCTGTGTAGTCATCATTATCATATAGGCTTGTCATAGGACTGTTATCTTGCACGACACAATATTGTACTCATTGTTCTTTCACTCTTATTTATTTTTGATGTGGTCTCATTTCCTCCATGTCTCGTTTCCAGCTTATCCCTTGCTCCTGCCTGTCTTTCTGTTCGTGCTTCCTTCCAAAACAGTCTTTCACAGTATATTTTGTTAACGGTACTAGAAAAATAACCTCTTGATGCGTCCATTATGTCGTTGCCCGAATCACGTACTATCGTAACAGACATATCACCCGAAATTGGGTTTATAATACAACCCGATTACATTGTTTGCATTCTAAATTCTGTCGAAATCTGGATTTGATACCTTTAATAGTCACCGAGATACACTTGGTTCGTGAGGCATCATAAGCACCCTCCTGAATATAATTCAGAATCACGTACATACGCTAGGGATGATACGCTAGTACGTGGACCGTCTCTTCCATCGCTTGTAAACTTGTATGCTCACGTTGTTAAGTCACGTACTAATGTAAGTAACAAAAATCTCACTATTAATCTACATGATTGCAGCGTTGAATAAAAAATTTTCATGACCATTACACGTAAACTTTCTCTCTCTCTCTCTGTCTGTCTTTCTCTCTCTCTTTTCCTTCCCATCTGTCTCTGCCTCCCCCTCCCCTGTCTCTCTCTCCCATCCCCTCAGCCTCTCTCTCTCTCTCTCTCTCTGCCCCCCCACGGCAAGGCCACTGACTGAAGAGTCTTTAGCCCATTCCCAATGAAGGGGATATTAACCTGTTTTTATGCACAGTAGAATTGTAAATGAGCTGACTTATCAATGTCTTGCTCCTACTGTGCCCAAACAACATAATGGGAACTGCTGCTATTTCTTTCCTCTTCATTGCTATCAATACTATCATCATTTTTCCTCTAATTCTTTTGTATGTTTGCAACTCTCTTGTGAACTATTATTTCTGGGGTGCCTTGATAGTCGAAGCAGACTTTGTGCTGTTGAGGCTAGAGAGGTGAGCAGAGAAAGCCTGATTCCTCGTTTAGACTTCATAATAATAAATAGCATTTATACTGCGCATTTCCATTTCCTAAAAGATGCTCAATGCGCATTACAATGAAAAAGACATCAC